GAGCCGGATTCGGCACTCCTGGCGCCTGTTCAAACATAGGTACATCAGGTACTCGTGCACTGGCCGGTGGCGGCCTTGACAGATGCAACTTGGTCCTTTTCGGAGTCGGAGTCACAGGACCTTCAAATGGTCCATCATGTCCCACCGGAGTCGGTGGCATCATCCCAGCAGGTGTGCTGGCACTCGGGCCTTCAACCAAACCCTGGCCTACACTCGCAGGAGGGCCACTAAACCCTTGTAGGCGGGTCAGAGGCGGCTTCATCTCCTGCACCAAACGGAATGCTAGGCGCTGGAACAGCAACAGGCTTTCGCTGCTTAGCCGGCGGCACAAGACGTGTCTCATAGACACCAGAGCTGTAATCCCACGGCATTCCTGCCATGTTCTCGAACAAATCGCGCTCCTCGGCCCAATCACGGCCTGTGCGGCGCACACTTCTGCTCACGCGCACTCCCGATCGGCTTGCAACAAGAAACTGATCGTTCGACCGAGTTTTCCCAATGAAGACAGCTTTAAGCCAACGCGCATTGCCTTTCTTGCGCGGAACGACCTGGGCGAAAACCGGTTCCCCGTAGGGCACAAGCTTGCCTTTGTAGGCTGCAGAGCATGTTCGCTCATAGGGCGTCAAGCCGCCCTGAACAGAAAAATGATATCTCAGCCATGCTGAATGCGAAAACGCCCAAGCAAAGAGTGGATGGCGCACACCAATGCGCAATCCCGTGCGCTTGCGCACAACATCAAGCAAAGTGCACGCGAGGCGGCGAACGAGATCGATTGATTTCTCGGCCGCTCCATTGGACTGGTGCCGGCCAATGGCCGGGTTGCTTTTTAAGAGTTTTCAAGCCGAGGCGCGATCGGGCAACGACTAAGGCATCTTGCAACCGAACAGTCGCGGGTTCATTGTCTGCGAAAATCTCAATCGTGGTGTGTCCCAAACTCTGCACAAAACGCATCACTTCAACACCCAAGTATCGCGAAGCTTCTTTGCTCTGGCACGGAATGCATGCAACTGAAGAAGTTGACTGATCATGGCAAATCAAGCAGCAAAGGAGGTCCTTGTTGTTTTCGGCCTGCGGGCCTTTCTTCTCCACAATCTCTTCTGAACCTTCATCGAGACCAGTATACATGAAGTCAAAGCTGACTCGAGGCGCATCCCGCGGGGCTCCAGTGGTGCTCTCAGCCCCGTCAGGGATCGAACGAAAAGCAACGCAGCTCTCACACCATGGAGCAAAAGGTTCATGCGTGAGCTCGTGAAGCAGTTGCTCGGACTTCGACGGTGGCGTTGGGAGCGACTGCATGACAGGCTCCCTTGAAGCATTGGCAACTGCATCACGTGCCATATCAGCTGACAGAGTCAACTGCTGCTTCTGCAAGTAGGATCAAACAGCCTACGCTTCGAACCTGAGTGCCTCAAACCTAGGCGGTCACATGCACCTGCAAGCACTGCGATTGGGCTCTGGCACGTAATTTCCACACCATCAAGCACAAGCTTGTCGTGGATAGGAGGCGGAAGTTGCTGGGGCTCCTCCATGTTAGGCAGACCAACATGTGCCTCAGGATCAATCGGCACAACTTCCTCAGCCTCTGCCCCTGCCGGATCTTGATCAAGCAGGATATCACCAACCCCGCCTAGTTCATCGCCAAGCGGTGCGGCAGCTTCAACCTCGACCTGCATGTGGTCGCGACCCATAAGGTCGTCGCTGCACTCAATGCCCACGGCACTCAGTTCCTCAAGTCGGGGATGCATGAACACTATCAACTCCGCTTCACCACCTGCAAGTGGCTCTTCGATGTCCTCAAGTGCAAGCCAATCCTCACACGTTTCAATGACCATCCACGGCAAAGCCTCAGACCTGCGCATGATCGTGGACCTTTATTGCCGAGGTGTGAAACAATCAAATCACCTGCAGATTCAAGTAAGAGTGTGCGCGGAGGTGCGTAGTGATAAGGATGCAAGGTTGGTCTCGATGCCCAGTCCGAAAACCTACGCACAACACGTAGTGGCACACGTGAAAAGCAGATATGTTCCAATCATATCAAAATTTCCAATCAGGAATATATATCTTCAAGGCACAATATACGTATCTCGAAAATCAGCTTCGCAATGCGCTCACCTTCATTTTCATCCAATGGCGGTCACGGCGTCCTCATCAAGAGTTCTACGACGATTCTACGATTGCGAGGATACAAACGCCCAGCATTTGCATCAGGGCACCCGGTGCCCGCTCAAGGGGAATGTGTGCATCAAAGGGCCCCAGGCTCCTCAACACTTTATCTCCCGAGCGGGTGGGTGGGTGAAAAATTCACGCCCCAACTTTGCCAGCAGGGCACTTGAGCACAAAGCTGCCCGGTTTGCATTCATGGATCAACACCACAAGTGATTGATGTCATGCAAAAGAATGGCAAAAGCTTTTTGGGCGAGAAGACAAACACAAGTTTGTTTAAATCATTCAATTTGCACAAAACAAATTTCCAACGGTTTGATTTGATTGGCGGATGCACCCAGCGCATCCTTTTCACACTAGGCAATAAAGATTTATCGCTCCGCGATGTGTTTCTTATTGCCGAGGTGTGAAACAATCAAATCACCTGCAGACTCAAGTAAGAGTGTGCGCGGAGGTGCGTAGTGATAAGGATGCAAGGTTGGTCTCGATGCCCAGTCCGAAAACCTACGCACAACACGTAGTGGCACACGTGAAAAGCAGATATGTTCCAATCATATCAAAATTTCCAATCAGGAATATATATCTTCAAGGCACAATATACGTATCTCGAAAATCAGCTTCGCAATGCGCTCGCCTTCATTTTCATCCAATGGCGGTCACGGCGTCCTCATCAAGAGTTGTACGAGTGCGAGGATACAAACGCCCAGCATTTGCATCAGGGCACCCGGTGCCCGCTCAAGGGGAATGTGTGCATCAAAGGGCCCCAGGCTCCTCAACACTTTATCTCCCCACTACAACTCGAGTGTTGAGGGGTGTACTCAGCACCGTAGAAGCCAAAGTTCAAGCGCGAAGCATCATCAGCAAGATTTGCTTTGAGCGGCACTCGGGCCCACCAGTGCGCTGCTTCAAGCGACACGTCGATGTGCGCGCCAACACACAGCATTGCAAATGTTGCCAGCACCGGGGATGAGCCTGAGCCCAACGCTGCTTTCGCCGAATCGTTGTCTATAAACCAGCACCTGTCGGCCTTTAAGAAACTCAGCCCACACAATCTTGGCGACGAGAACCGGCAGGACTTCCACCTGGCCAACCAGCTGACGTTTGCCATAAGCTCCCCAAGAGTCTACGGACGCCGTTGGGATTCGCTCTCCGAAGAAACGGTGCACTCCCCTGACTGGGTCAATCAAGACTCCACCGTGAGCTGTCAAGCCATCTGCCTCTTCATGAGCACCATCCGTGAAGACTATGACCGGTCGGTCACTCGCATCAGTTTTGATCTCTCGCGGACGCATGTCCTCAAGCAACCCGATAGTGTGCTGTAGCAGAACGCAATCATCTGAGCTAAGCTTCAGCACCCCGCCGCCTTTCAAGTGTTTCGAAAGGCACTTGACGGCCATCAAGGCAACGCGCCCGAAGGCATGGGTCGAGGCGTACAGGAGCCGTCCTTTCAAGCTTGCCAACACTGCAGGTTGCACGAAACCTTCGGCACAGACTGAGTTCACCAACGTCCTCAAGGATTCAAGGCGTCCTTCCTTGTTCGCTATTTCCAGGATGCCGGAAGGGGCTCGCACAAGTGAAAAGCTGGCTCCCAGCATGGCAAAAACCTTGGCAAAGGGCAGGGACTTTTTGGGGTCCTCGGCAATCTTCCACCCTAGGAGGCGCAAGACAAGCTCGGCAGTGGTTTTGGCAGAATCGGCTAACGCTTCAGTTTCCAATTGGCAGAAATCGTCATAAAAACTAGTCACTATAAGCTTTACGATTCTCAAGAGGATCAGGCGTAAGGCACGAGCAACCCGATTGAAGCTGGTGACTGAGTGGACCGCTCCGAATGGAAGCGTAGAGAAGCGGAAGTACTTGTGTTTCTTACAAGAGGGGCCCCACACAGCCAGTACGGAGGCCCACGCATCCAGCGGCGAGGAGGCCAGCTGTTTGTAGTTTGCTTTCAAGTCGAGCGCTCTGCCGACGATCTGTCGATTCCCGGGACTCTTTCTCCGGATCACTGCGTCCATGAAGCACTTTGCAGTCTGAGCGACAACATCGATGTCCTGAAGAAGTATCTTTATTTCCTGTTCCACAAACACATGGAAATATCATGAATATTCCTCTTCACGTCACTCCAATATATTTCAGAGAATATATTAAATAAGAACGCAGTCACTCGCTCAGCAGCCTTCGTTTTGCTATGATGATATTGCGCGATGCCGTGGGGTCGAAACGATAAAAGTTTGATATCTCCATCGGCCCCAAGGTCAAGCATCCAATGCAAGACACATGTGTCGATGAGATAAGTCGAGAGCTTGCGCACCCGATCATACCCCGGGCGGGCGGGTGGGTAAAAAAAAATTTTCCTGCCCACTTGAGCAAGAAACCTTGCATTCGGATCGTCATTCAAATGCACATGTTCCTCAATGCTCATGCGTGAAAGTAAAAGAGAGTAAAACGTGAAAAACGGAAATCTCATGAAAATCTCCATGTTCAACCTTGTCGTAACCCGACAACGGTTGTTGTGAAAAAGGAAATAAAGTGATAATCACAAGTGATGAAGTCACTTATTTCCTGTTCCACAAACACATGGAAATATCATGAATATTCCTCTTCACGTCACTCCAATATATTTCAGAGAATATATTAAATAAGAACGCAGTCACTCGCTCAGCAGCCTTCGTTTTGCTATGATGATATTGCGCGATGCCGTGGGGTCGAAACGATAAAAGTTTGATATCTCCATCGGCCCCAAGGTCAAGCATCCAATGCAAGACACATGTGTCGATGAGATAAGTCGAGAGCTTGCGCACCCGATCATACCCCCAGCACCGTGCGCACATGCAGCCGTTCCCTCAAACAAGCATCTTCTCACCACTAGTATGCATCCGCTGAGCGCCTTGATTCAAGAGCCTTTTGCAGCAGTCGCGGCTTGGCTCATCCGCTGGATTCGAGTGGGTCGGGACTCGCCCGAACCACGGCCTTGCCCGCCACCTGTGCTCGGCGTCCAAGAAACGTTGGACCAGCTTCCTTCCATGATCCGTGCCCGAACGGCCCGCATTGAGTGCTGACTGAGCGGCCTCGTTATCAAGGTAAAAAACGGAAAAGGAATCCTCCAATAAGGGTCCCCAAATCTCAAATGCAACCAATGCGGCATACAGTTCCACCTCATATATCGGATGATCAGAAGTTTCCTCAAGAGCCCGCAGATCGTCCTCGTTCACCTGTGCAGAGAAGAAGGACAATGGCGTGCCAGCGCTGTCATAGAGGACGCCACCAATGCCGGCTCGCTTCTCAGCCGTGGGCTCATACGAGCCATCTGTAAAAACATACATCTCGCGCCCTGTCGTCTGCCTCAGCTCTAATGGCCTGGAGTCCACCACGTAGCGGAGCAAGGTTTGAATCGCCTCGGTCAGGTCGTCAGTGAGCCGTGTGCATGAGTCCATGCATTGAGCCCTCAAGGATATCTGTCTCATCGCCTCGCACGGTGCACGACCGAAAAGATACGAAGTAAACCAATGCATCCTTCCCCTCAAAACTTCCGCATCCTTGGGTCGGAGTACAGCATCACGTAAGATTCCCTCGAGCGTCTCCACCAGCTCAGCAGTACGTGCTTCCGTATGCCGAATGATGACCACCCCCTCATTGAATCTCGTCAAGTCATACTGCAATCCCAGGGCGGCAAAAGTGTAATCAAAGTCAGTGGCCTTCTTCCCCTCCTTTGCGTATTGGATCCCCAGTGCGTCAAACACTTCTCCAGCCAATCCTCCAACCTGGTCTTCATGACCTTCAAGGGCCATCAAAGGAAAATCGTCAAAGTAGGCACACCATCCCAGGCCAAGGTCCTGGATGCCCGTATGCCAAATCGCCGCCGAAACTCGCAGGAAACCTGCCACACTTCCGGTGGCACCGAAAGGAAGAACGTTGGTTCCATAAATCCTGACTATGCCAGAGTCTGTGTCATAGACCCCGATCCTCAGATGACGCCTGTCTTGAGGGTGGATTGGATAAAATTTGTACGCAGAGACCAGATCTATGGTTTTCCCTTTGATCCTTTTGCCGGCAGCTTCAGGACGGTTGAGCAACTCGATGAAAACTCCAGCAAGCACGTCTACTCCATGCAAGGTGAACTTCTCTGGTAGCCCACAAGCCAAGTTGAGGCCACACTCCTTGCCGTTGTCGATTACACGAACTTTGTCCATCTGCTGCAAGCCGAAACGATGAGCCAAGACTATGTCATCGAGATTTGCATTTTCATCCCGAAAGATCCATCCCTTTTTCTCCTCCTCCACCGTTTCAGCCCACGCCTTGCGTGCCGTGATGTCAACAACAGTCTTCTGTAGCCTTTTCAAGGTCAACGGTGTTTGGTACTGGGATTGACTTTGCAGGTGCTCCAGCGATGTATGTGGGGGACGGACTTTCTTGTCGAAGATTCCCGTGTCCCGCATCCAGCCAGTCAGTCTAAGTCCATCGCGCAGGTCGGACCAGAGTTGTTGGTCCGGGAAGCCATTGTCACCAAGAATACTTTTCCAGGCCAAAAGATTCTTATCCCCTAACGCGGTCACAATGTAGTCCGGTTTGTTCTTCAACATGTTCTGATTCAAGGGCTTAGTTGTAGCCGCAATCCGACTCCAACGATCCTTGGTTTTTGAGGCAAGCCGCTCCCTCTGTTCGAAATCCATGAGAATGGCATCTGCAACTTTGGAAGAAGGTCCTTCCCGGCTCGCGTTCAGAGCATTCCTAGGATGTCCAGCCTTCACGGCATCCGCCACAAAGTCGCAGGGTTCTTTAGGTATTCCAACAGAAACAATCTCCGCATGCTCGGAGCACGGATCGTCTGCCCCAATGAAACCCATTATCGCGACTGTTTCGTCATGCTTGAGGTGGTCCTCCTCAGTACAATCAGCGATCTTCACCCGTTGGGGGTATTTGGAATGCAACGATGACAAGTCGATGCCTGTGCATTTGGAAGGCACGCAAACCCGCACCATACCCCAGGACACAAGTTTGCGTTGAATAATGCGCGCTCCCTTTGGGTAGCAAGCCAGCAGTGTGGAGGTAAGATCATCGGATCGAACAGGGATGGCCCAGTCATCACTTCCAGAATAGCAGGCAACCAAGGGCCGTGCAAAACGAGGCTGTCGCTGCAAGTATACCTGCGAAAAAGGGCGTGGGTCGGGCGCAGCAAGCGCTAGTCCACCAGCACGTTCGGCAATGATGTGGGCCATTCGTTCACAAAGCAGCACCGGATATGCAGCTTCATCGGCAGTCGGGAAAGAGGTAGCATGTGGTTGTAAACGAGGTTTCCATGAAGCGTGCTGGTGGTCGCGTGAGCACCGAAGAGCGAGAGGCTGAAACCAATCATCAGAGCACCACAACAAGGTGGTTTTGTCACGTGTGCCACCATGCATGCAGGCATCGTAGACCACGGTGTGATGTGGTGATCGGAACAGATCGTCCAGACCATCACACAACCAAGCCAAAGAGTTGCGCGGGTTTTCCACGGTGACGAAGATGTTCAATTGTCGAGCCAGGTCAGCAATTTGCCCGACAGCACGGTAGAGCATATTGGCCTGCTGGACCCGTTCAAGATCCGCGCCGGTCAAAGTGGAGAGTCCTTCGGGTTCGGAAGTACTGCGCAAAGGCTGCGGCACCCGAACACCAGCAGCCGTCAATTCCGGAATGGGTCTGGAGCGCGCCGCAGACGCGGTGCCACACGGCGGCGCACAATGAATCCAGACAATATTGGCCGCCTCAAGACGGATAATAACCAGAAGAATGCAAAGGTCGTCAGCATCGGTGAGGTCAAGACGTTGTATGGGGAAGCGTCCACGTGCGGTGGATTTATCGATTGCAAGCGTTCGGAAGCCCAGCTTTTGACAGGCAGTGCTAAGCCGAGCCGTGCCGGCAAAGATCTCGATGACCAGTGGCGTGGCCTGTTGAGGAAAGGCCTCCTGCAGTCCAGTATGCCTGGAAGTTGATGCACTTGTCGATGGTCCGGCGTCAGGCAAACCTAGCGGTGTTAGGGAAGGGCAGGCGGCGGGTTTAGGGCCAGTTAGGGGTCGGTAGGCAACCTTGGGCCGCTTGGGCGGTGGCACAGGGAGCACATCGTCTGAGGCCGATCCGGACTCAACCTGAGGCAGGAGGAAACAAGCATCAAGGAGTCGAGCACGATGTGCCTCGAACAGGAGCCCCAGTGTCACGAATGCAGAAGCCAACAATCAACAAACGGGTAGCAAGTTGCGTGCAACCGCTCTGAAGGAAGCAACTGTGGGCCATCGGCAACAGGCAGCAAGTAGCCCAGACGTGGCACGCCGGGGTCGGGGCACGGGCACCCGCCTTTACCCTCAACCCAAATCTGGCCATTGTGGAAAACAGAGGCAGGCAAGATCAGGTTGGGGTGGGCATGATCGTTGTTGGCGTCGTTGTGCAGAGGCGCCTTCAAATTCAAGAAAAGTCCAACAGACGAGAAGCAGCGAGAGCAAAAAGACGCCGACAAGACGGCGGCGAGAAGCATAGTGCTGAAAGGAAAGGCGTGAAAATTAGAACGCAATCCGGCTTTGGCCTGATGGACATATGCGCCGGATGTGAAAGATTTGGGAGCTGTCGGGTCCACAGATTCTTCTGACGGGGCGCCGGCAGTGTCCGCAGGGAGCAAAGCGATCAAGCTTCGAAAATCGTCATGACTAGCAAAACCGGCCTGAAGGCATTGCAATGCTATCGCCTGCGCGGGTGCCAACACATCGGCAACCTCAGAAGTGGCGGCGGGGGAAAAATGAAATCCCACTGAGTGTGGGCCATAGCCAGAAATGGCAGCCGCCTCAACAGGAGGAGCTGAAGTGTCGAGAGCTGTTTGTCACTCGGATTTACCCTTGCCGGATCCTTTCCACGTACGAGCACGACAATTACGGAAGGAGTGGCCCACTCGGCGACAGTAAGCACAAACATGGACACCCCGAGGGCAGCGCGGTGGGTCTCCTTCAGTCTTGGCCTTGCAGCCGGCACAATTATGGTCCCAACAAATGGGCTTGCCGTCCTCAGTTTTCTGATGGGCATCCTTGAGTTCAGCTGGCATGGTGCGTGTCTTTGTAGCCTGTGCAGCAGTAGCCTGAGCGCCTGTGCCCCGTCCAGCAGGCGTTGTATGCTTGGCGGCAGTAGCCGCCTCCTTTGCACGTCGACGGCGCTTGGCTGCTCGGGACATACCTTCACCTGGCTTAGCAGGGGAGCCTTGCTCAATGTCCTGAACCTTAACATCCGGTGCACGGCCCCAAGTAGCCATCAAGTACATGGTGATCCGAGGGTCAGTCCTCAAAGCATCCAAAGCCTTACCCAGAGGGTACTCGCCAGCAGCACTGGGCTTAAGTGATGGCACCTCGGACGCCATGATCAACCAGGCCTCACGATCGGCCTGCACAATGCGATTCATATCAGGCTTGTGGAACCCCGGAGGACACTCCTTAGTCAGTGCGTGAAGCAAGCAGTGAACCCAACGCTCGTGCTGGGCCCACGTCAACACCTTGCTTGGCCTGGTCCAAGGCCAGACCGCGGCGCTGAAGGCACCACTGCAACTTGATCGGCGAATCATAAGAAGCAATGTCCTTAGGCTGTTCACTTCCGACCTTCAACGAGTTGTCTTCAAGTCGAAAGACTTTGTTTGCTTTGGTCCTTCGTTGAAAGCTGAATTTCTGATTCGCGGCTGGTGCATTTGCCCGGCGATATCCAAGTAATGCCCACATCATGCATGTGACAGCAGAGGTCCACCAAAGCATGGGAAGGGACCAAATCACGCTCTATATGCACTCCACTAAGCCGACGGCGCTGATCCTCGGCCCTGGCCTGTTTTTCAGCGAGTGGAAGCTTTCGAGGTTGTTCGGCGGAGTCCCCTTGCACAGCTTGACGCAACTGAGCTATGACATATGTGGCTGACTCGAACATCAATCGCTTCAAGATTGAAACATCCCCCAAACGGGGAGCAGCCCCCAATATCTTTACTGCAAATGCGTCCATTTCCGCCTGTGCCTGTGAGGGTCGATCCTGAGGCGTGCCACAGGAGTATGCAAGCGAGGCAAAGGAAGTGATCCCTTGGTCAGACAGTGCAGTGTGAATCGCACCACCGCCGACGTCCTGACATCGCTGTCGAAATGAAGCCTCACTGTCAACCAGCGACATGCCGCTCCCTAAAGACGGCTCGAGCACCAGGTCAGCCGAGAATTCAGGGCTGTGTTCCGCAAGAACAGGCAGCATCACCTAGCATGACCGGCACACCAGATGACCCCCAACACACAAGCATCTTGCTCAGCCCAGCGGGGCGAACTAGTGACCGTCCGCCACTGCCTTCTTGCAGTTGCGGCACACTGATGAGTCAAACCTGATTCGCTGTGGAAGACTGTACAAGTCGCTAACCATCCGCCCACACATCAGTACGCGGCGGTTGTTGTCAGCAATCATGTGTAGTAAGCGAGTTCTCTGATGCTGCAAAAATGTTGTGCCTTCCGCAGGCTCCGGCGGCGGCATAATCCGAGCCGGTTCGTCATCACTTCCGGAGCTGTCACCTGAGTCACTTGATCCACTCGAACTAGAAGAGTCAGAATCCTCGCCGGTGAGTTTGTCGTCTTCTGCATCCAAAGAGGATACACCGCCGTCACCCACCTCAGCTTCGGGTGGCTCATCGACAGAATCCTGCCCCATAAGGTTCTCGTCAGCTTCGCCCGGAAAGAAGACGCCTGGCTGACTCGGTACTTCCTTATCAAGAGCGTCGATCAAGCCAAACGTGTCGTCGTCACCCGTCACCCTCTCCCATGACACAGCGGAGGGAGGGTGACGATCTTCCGTCTGGGCAACAAAGCCCAATCGAAGCTCTTCCAAGCCACTCCCACGCAAATAACCCGCGCGACCAGCATCTGGATCAAAGACACCCTCTCGGATCTCTGAGATCAAGGCCATGAGCAGGCGGAGGGGGCGTGCCAACTCGTCATCGCCATAAGTGTCGGCCATCCCGGCAGAGTTTGCGTGTCCTCCCAGAACCAACTGGTCCAAGTGCTCAACGCCACGCTTTGTCGCCATGGTAAGGAAGGTCCTCTTCAGCGTGTGGCCAGATGTTCTGAGTGATCCACGGTCGACGAAGATCTTCTGAAGCCATAAAGACATCTCCTCATGTGCTCACGGATGCACCGGTAGGTTCTCCTGCAGGGCCTGGTGTGGGCAGGGGTGGAACGAACTCTGTAAGTCCCACCTCCACTCGAGCCTCGTGCCACAAATCGAGCCAGTTCGGCCCAGCAATACCCCGTCCAGGAGCGATCATACGAAGCGGTGCACCCGCAAAGAATTTAGAGTTGACCGTTTTGTAGTCCTCACAGGTGAATTCCAGGAAGAGCCTCTCACCATCATCCCCGCACTCCAGCCCACACGAGATAGAGTGCTGAAAATCGGACCCTCGTGATCGCATGTACGCGCAGCACAAAGCTGCTCCCGCGAAAACACGATCCCAAGCGGGGACACTCTTGTCCCCCAACATGGAATGGAGCAGCCTCAAATTCTTCAAGGTCAAAGGGTCTGCCCTTCGGCGCGCCTTCCGCCGTGCACCCCTCGATGCTGCACCAAGACACCGCCTGCTGGATATCACGTCCTCAATCTCCTCAATTGAGAAGACATGTCGAACGAAGATCAACGCTTCACGAAGCGCACGCATCTGTGCCGGCTTCGCTCCGCCAGCTCTGGCTGCAACCATGTGCTTGTAAACATTGCCCTCTTCATATGGAAAAATCTCGTCGGACCATCCCTCACTTTTGTGAAAACGAAGCAGAGAGTTACAGTAACACGCTTAAGCAGCGTACTCGGAGCTTTGGGATGCAACCAATCCCGAAGAACTTCCGTACGTTCTTCTGCGGTAGCACACTCAAGCAAACTCTTGCAGATCAAGAGGTCCGGGCGAAGGTCGGCCCACCTCAAGATAACAAAGGTCCATCGAGCCATGGCCCGGTCGTGGTCCTTGTCACGCTGATCTTGCCAAGATATGCCGTGGCTTTTCCGTACCACCGCAAAACACACTCCAGGAACGAGGCCACTTTCTCTAAGACGCCTCTTCTTTTCTGAAGGTGGGAGAATTGCTTCGGGATCATCCGGCACAGGCAGATCGGGCAACATAAAAGTGTCTTCCCAGCCCACCACATCGCCAGGCTCGAAGATGCTCCTGAACACACCGTGCTCCCAGAGCAATTTCGCGGGCTGTCTAGCATCGCTAGCACAAGCATCCACAGCCGTGCTCAGCAAAGCTTCAAAGTCTATCCTTGGAGCGGCTGCATATCTCTCACCTCCGACCCTGCTGGCACCACCTCACACTCTTTTTGTTTGGCCAAAACCCCTTTCGAGAGCCCGGGAGAGGTTAACCCCGATCCGAACCCTCTCCTACCGCCTGAGTGGCTCTACCAAGTCGACGTAGAGTGCCGGGCAGGAGGGTAGCTGCAGGTGATAAGGCTGCCAGTGCCAGGACATGCAACCAGGGAAGAGACACCGATCCCTCTGGGTGACTCTCTCTGCATGAGGGTGCCATCGACCACGGCCAGCTGTATGCGACCACGGACGAGAGAGTCGATCTGCATCAGGACAGCACCTCCCCTGGCATGAGTGTTGATATACTCTGGTGCATAGCGTGTCGTGTGAGAGCACCCCGTCACAGAATCCCTTGCCTCCTTCAGAGAGCCTCCCGAGAGCTAGAAGTATGAGATGTTTTGACTCCCTCCAACGTGCTCCCTTGTCAGTTTTGCCGTAGTGTCGGAGCTCAGAGCGGGGACGTGTCACTCCCTAGGATGTACTTGCACTCCTTTGCACATCAGGGATGAGCATCTCTCCCGAAGGCTGTTGCCTCTTCCGCCCATGGGCGATGCCCTGCACGGTTCCACGACGATGGCCCACGCTCGCCGCCTCCCAACGAAAGCAGAAAGAATGGCTCAAGAATCAAGGTGGCTCCAGTGCCACACTTCGTAGCCGCAGAGAGTTACGTGTTTTAACTAACGACCGGCTTGAAGACAGCAAGGAAGTGGGCTCTCACTCCTTCACGGGACGTGACTGCCACTCCCAAGCGCCACGAGCCGCATCTGTCCTTCTGCCGTGTAGGGTTTAGGGCTCTAAGGTTGCAAACTCTATTTCGTCACCTTCTGGACACCACCGCGACGATAAAAGCTGCTGCTTTCCGCAGGGGGAGCACACCCACACATATGCCGCAGGCAGCGCCCGAGCCCTTAAGCAGTGCACAGAAGCAGTGTGGGCTTCGAAGTTCTCGTCTGTACCGGCTCTTCCTGTCAGTTTCGCAGGGCAGGGTCGTGCAAAACGTCCTTCCTTGCCCACTACGTGTCCGAGCAGGTGAGAGGGGCGCGGCCTCCAGGCCCTCAGGCACCACCAGCAACTGTCCAGGAAGGGGACGAAAAGGGTCTGCAACCTTAAAGAGCTCTAAACCACGGCAGAAGGACAGATGCGGCTCACGGCGCTTGGGAGTGGCAGTCACGTCCCAGAAGCGCACCTGCGAAGGAGTATAGCCCACTTCCTTGCTGTCTTCAGGCCGGTCCTGGTGGAGGGCGAGCCCGATCCACTACGGCCACGCGAAAAGCAAGGGGTGGGAGCCACACCCAAGTCAGGGGCGCTATGGCTCAGAGAGAAGGCTAAAACTGGGATTGTGGGGGCCTTGAACCTCGTCGAAAAGCAAGTTGAGAGCCCCAAGCCCGTTAGTTAAAACACGCAACTCTCTACGGCCACGAAGTGTGGCACTAGAGCGAGCTTGAGCCGAGACTTGAGCCATTCCTTTCCTTTTCCTTTCTTCTAGAGGCGGCGAGGAGTCCGCGGCCCGTAGGCCCTCGACATGCACTTAATTACCATGGGTTTTCCAGGCGGAAAAAGCAAGCTCAGTCCTACGGGAGAGTAACCTCGTCCCAGATGTGCTAAGGAGTGCGAACAGCCTAAGGGAGCGTAACGCGTCCCTGCTCTGCACTACGGAGCCTACGGGAGGGAGCGTCCCGTCCCGCAGAGCTGCACGTCAGAGGAGTGAGACACGTCCTCACCGGAAGTGCTATACGTCCTAAGGAGAGAGGCCGTCCCCTGCAGAGCAGAAAAGGAGGCTCCCGTGTTCTCGCTCTTACGGAGCAGGGAAAAGTACCTGAGCCGAAACTCGTGCTGAGCTGAAAAGAACCGGATGAAAGGCAACCAACAGAAGCTCTCGAGCACAGCTGGAGTGTCGAGACCCGCCGGAGCGAATCTCTTAACCACCGCTGCGCACCGGTGTCCCCACGCCACACGCCTGGAGGAAGGGCAGTGCCGCAACAGGCCAGCCCTGACGTCAAGGAGGCGGCCTACAGACGCCCGCGGAGTAACTCTGACAGGCGTAAACCACCACGGGAAAACAGATACAACACGAGAGCAACGCCGGGGACACCGTACCCGGGGGGCCTCCTTCACGTGCCAGACGAACAGGGCTGCATTGGGCCAGGAGGGTTTGCGGAGCCCAAAGAGGTCAACCAGGCGGACATCTCTGATAGCGAGCACAGTGCAGTACAAGCACCAGGGAGCGCTGTGCAAAAGCTAACTGCCAAAGAAAACGCCAACCTCAGAAAGGAGGCCAGGGAGTGGGAGGCAACACGTCTCTAATAGCCCAGTCCCTTTATGGCGTCACCGCCCCTGTATCCAGGCTATTAGGGACGTGTTGCCTCCCACTCCCTGGCCTTCTTCTGGGAGGTTGGCGTTTTCTTCGGCAGCCTGGTTGGCCTCTTTAGGCTCCGCAGGCCCCCTGGCCCAATGCAGCCCAATTCGTCTGCAGGCACGTGGGCCCCGCGCCACCTGTTAGGAAGATGAGGGGCAGCGTCGTCCCTGCGCCTTGTTGAGGGAAAGCGTTGGCCCTGCGCTTTGCTGAAGGGCGTGGGCGGTTAGGGTTGTTTTCGGGTTAGGACCTGTTGCTCCGATGGGGGCTCTACCGGACGCCCTGGCTTTTTTGTCGAGGGAGACCTCCCCTCCGAGGTACGGTGTGTCGCTCTCGTGTTGTGTCTGTTTTGCCGTGGTGGTTTACGCCTGTCACATAAATATACATTATCATTCATGTTGTTTTAAATGTCTGCAAAATTGCTTGTGTTTTTCTATAAGGTTTTGGGATAGGCTGAGTACGATTCAGTCTTTCGTTACATGGGCTGTTTAGATACTGTTGCTTAATCTGCAGGCTTCAGTGCGGTATTGGATGTTTTGTGATGGATCTTCTGGGGTTGCAGGTTCAGGCTTGGTTCGTACCTGTGGGGTTTACTTCTGGGTGATGGTTTGGGGTTTCCGCGGGTACCGGCCTCCTGAACGTCAGGGCTAGCCTGTTGCGGCACTGCCCTTCCTCGAGGCGTGTGGCGTGGACACCGGTGCGTAGTGGTGGTTAAGAGATTCGCTCCGGCGGGTCTCGACACTCCAGCTGTGCTCGGAGAGCTTCTGGTTGGTTGTTCTTCTCAGCTCAGCACAAGTTTCGGCTCAGGTACTTTTCCCTGCTCCGTAAGAGCGAGAACACGGAAGCCTCCCGTTCTGCTCTGCAGGGGACGGCCTCTCTCCTTGGGACGTGTAGCACTCCCGGTGAGGACGTGTCTCACTCCTCTGATGTGCAGCTCTGCGGGACGGGACGCTCCCTCCCGTAGGCACCGTAGTGCAGAGCAGGGACGCGTTACGCTCCCTTAGAACTGTTCGCACTCCTTAGCACATCTGGGACAAGGTTACTCTCCCATAGAACTTAGCTTGCTTTTTCCGCCTGCGGGCCATGCCCGCTCCTACCGGGGCGGAAGACCATGGAAAACCCATGGTAATTCAGTGCACGTCGAGGGCCTACGGGCCGCGGACTTCTCGCCGCCTCTAGAAGAAAGGAAAAGGAAAGGAATGGCTCAAGTCTCGGCTCAAGCTAGCTCCAGTGCCACACTTCGTGGCCGTAGAGAGTTGCGTGTTTTAACTAACGGGCTTGGGGCTCTCAACTTGCTTTTCGACAAGGTTCAAGGCCCCCACAATCCCAGTTTTAAGCCTTCTCTCTGAGCCATAGCGCCCCTGACTTGGGTGTGGCTCCCACCCCTTTCTTTTCGCGTAGTGGATCGGGCTCGCCCTCCACCAGGACCGGCCTGAAGACAGCAAGGAAGTGGGCTATACTCCTTCACAGGTGCGCTTCTGGGACGTGACTGCCACTCCCAAGCGCCGTGAGCCGCATCTGTCCTTCTGCCGTGCAGGGTTGAGGGCTCTATAAGGTTGCAGACCCTTTTCGTCACCTTCCTGGACAGTAGCTGTTGGTGCCTACGGGCCTGGAGGCCGCGCCCCTCCCTTTCAGTGGGCAAGGAAGGGCGCTCTGCACGACCCTGCCCTGCGAAATTGATAGGAGGAGCCGGTACAGACGAGTGCTTCGAAGCCCACTGCCTGTGCACTGCTCAGGGCTCGGGCGCTGCCTGAGGCAGTCGCTGCCCTCTGCCCGCCCTTTTAGGGTCCCACACCGGTTTTCTTTGGTTCTGTTTCAATTCCTTCTCCTCGGCCGCCCTGGCAATGAGGATTGAGTTACGGCAAGGAGGACCCCCTCTTCAGGCACTTTCGAGGTCTATCTGCCTATCCCTTAGGCGATGGCCTTTAGGAGAGTTCTTTGTTACATCGCCTAGGTCTGTGAGGGTGGCTCCCCCCTGCAGTCCCTTTATGACGTCACCGCCCTGTGTCTTGCCTACGACACACTGCGGCGATGAAGCTACTGCTGCTTTCCTGGCTAATAGGGACGTGTTGCCTCCCATTCCCTGGCCTCCTTCTGGAGGTTGGCGTTTTTCGTCGGCAGTTAGCTTTTGTACAGCGCTCCCTGGTGCTTTGCACGGCACTGTGCTCGGTATCAGGGATGTCCGCCTGGTTGGCCTCTTTAGGCTCCGCAGGCCCCCTGGCCCAATGCAGCCCTAACTCGTCTGCAGGCACGTGGGCCCCGCGCCACCTGTTAGGAAGATGAGGGGCAGCGTCGTCCCTGCGCCTTGTTGAGGGGAAGCGTTGGCCCTGCGCTTTGTTGAAGGGCGTGGGCGGTTAGGGTTGCTTTCGGGTTAGGACCTGTTACTCCGATGGGGCTCTGCCGGACGCCACGACACGTGGCTTTTTTGTCGAGATAGGCCTCCCCTCCGGGGTACGGTGTGCCCGGCTTCGCTCTCGTGTTGTGTCTGTTTTCCCGTGGTGGTTTACGCCTGTCAGGGTTACTCCGCGGGCGCCTGTACCGGCCGCCTCCTTTACGTCAGGGCTGGCCTGTTGCGGCACTGCCCTTCCTCGAGGCGTGTGGCGTGGGGACACCGGTGCGTAGCGGTGGTTAAGAGATTCGCTCCGGCGGGTCTCGACCACTTCATCCTCCAGCTTTGCTCGGAGAGCTTCTGGTTGGTTGTCCTTCACCCGGTTCTTCTCAGCTCAGCACGAGTTCGGCTCAGGTACTTCCCTGCTCCGTAAGAGCGTGAACACGGGAGCCTCCTGTTCTGCTCTGCAGGGGACGGCCT